TTCAACCCAAACCCCTGCTCTTCACCTGCTGTGTCCACGTTGCCCTAGTGTGTGTTGGAAGCACGTGTTACTGGGGGCTCATCTCCTGGAACAGCAGCCCCCAAACAGCGTCCTCGTGAATCATCCGGGATTTGAGGTATCTTCTTGGTGGCAGAATATTTCCTTTTAAAGGGTATTTCCCCCCCGCCCTTTTCTCTTTTTGGCTTGTTGCAGAAGCTCACACCATCTTTATATGGTATATTTGTGCTCCAAATGCACAGGTCTCTTGTAATCTTCTCTGTAATCTCTCAGTGCACGTGCAGAGTGGAAATCACCTTGGAGGAGAGGCACTTATGTTGCCCGTGTCACGCGTTACTCAAGGGAGGTGACGCTGTAGGTTTTTAAGGATTCCCAGTTGTCTGAATCTGTCACAGCCTGTTCACCTCCCAAACCAATGGGATTTTTCCATCTGGCAATCTGCCTCTTCCTCTGGCCCTCCTGATATCTTTTAGATCTTTATGAATCTATTAATTTTCTTTTAACAGTGTCTGTGCTGTTCATCCATCACTCGATGGCTGCCCAAGGTCAAGAGCCTTGCATTGCCTTCTCTTACCTTACTTTGTCACCACTCTTTTAAAATCTCATCAGGCTTCTTGTGGGGCACGTGTGCTGTGCCATTGCCCCAAGGACACGTCCAGCGGGCTGCACTTATGTCCTTCCCACACCCCTGTGCTCAGCGCGGTCACGTTGCGTGATCTGGAAAGAAGCTGCTGTTTGCTGTGTCGAGCCTCCACAGAGCCCAGGGCCAGTTTCCCAGGATGTGGCCGGTTCCCTGGAAAGCTGGGCCAGGACACGGAGCTGAGACACGTCTCCACACAGCGGGTGGCAGCCCCTGCGCTGTGTGTCCCTCACCTGCYGCCGCCCGTGCCGCGTCTGTGTGGTCGCTCTCCGTTCAGCTCCTCTCTCCTCCGTTCAACTCCTCTCCGTTCAGCCCCTGCTCTCTCATCTCTCGCCGTCTCTGCAGAATTTCACCTGCCCACTTTTGTTTCCCTTCCTGATCTTCCCCTCTTACATCTCTGCTCCTCGCCCGGTGTTCAGACCCCAACTGCAGTCAGAGGAACTGGGGGGCCCCCCTGTCCCCGGGGTGCGGGCTGCACCCCAGCTCTGCCAGGCACAGGTGTTTCTGCTGCTGCCCCCAAACTCATTCTTGTCACTGGTCTAAAATGTTTCACCTGGATACAGGCAGCCCCCATCTTCCTGGCACTGGCTGGTTCTCAGCTTCACTGACCTTGCTGAGATAAAATTAGACATTTCATTTTGAATTAAAGACAGTTCAGCTGAAAGAAATCCAAGCGTTTTATTTCAGAAACATCAAATCACAGCGTTTCCTTTTTTGTCTGTGAYTCGGGAGGGGGAAGGTCTTGCCAGCCAGAGCCTGGTGACAATGACATTGATTTCTTAGACCTTTTGGCGGGGCCAAATCTGTATTTTTAGCTGGGAAAATCACGTGTCAAAGAAACGTTTTCCCAGCCCTGATGAGAAGGGGGTTGAAAGGAAGGAGTTTACGCCGGTGCTGCTGAAGCGAGCAGATGAGCAGGGTGCGCTGCTGCCTGCAGCGAGCCGGGGCGTTCCCTGCCCGCTTCCCTGTGTGCGGCCGGTGGCTCTGGGCAGCGCTGGCATYGTGTGGGGGCTGAGTGCAGGACGAGGGGGAGGCTGGAGAGCAGTGGCGCCGGTGTCCTGGCCTTCCCTGGGCTGTGGTCGCCGTCGGGCCCTCGTGCTGCCCAGGGCTGAGGGCACCTGCAGGGCTGCTCAAGCCCCTCTGCTCTCCCTGCAGTTGTTTATCTGCCGGGGCGGCGCTGCCTCCATCTCTCCTTTTCTGCCTCCTCGCTCTCCCCCACCCTGCTCTCATTTCCCCAAGAAGGCTTTAATGAAATCTGCCCTTAATTAAATCCACATTCATTTGCATAATTACCAGGAAATTGAAATTAGCCTGCGGACGTGGCTGGAATATGCCCRGCTTGAAGGAGTGGGGCTCGTTTCGAGGAGGGGGCTGCAGTGAGGGGGCTGGGTGCCCCCAGGAGAGGGCTCCTTCCCCAGCCCTGGGTGCCCCCCGTGCCAGCCCCAGCCCCCCATGTCCTTTGCCACCTGGTCCCGTGTTCCCATTGTCCCAGCCAGGGCTGGTTAGCGCTCCCCGACAGCGCGGGGGCAGCTTGGCGGGGGCAGTTCAACCTGCAGGGCACTCACGGGGTAGTTGGGACAGGGCTGGTGGCGCTCAGTGATGGTGACGGTCACCCCGTTGAGCCTTTGCTCGCCAGACCCAGCCCTGCACCGCGGGCCCCCAGCTCGGCCCTGKGTCCTGAGGAGCCCGGGCGGGAGCCTGAGCGCAGGCTGAGCCTAGAGCAAGGCCCAGCTGTGATGCCGGGTGCAGCTGGGCTGGCCCCATCTAGGACCAAAGCCCAAATATCCGACCTTGCCAGGCACCCTCGGACTGTGTCAGAGGACACGTCAGAGCGCCTCTGCCTGGAAAGAGATCCCAGCTTTCTCAAGCAAGGACTRTGTTTGAAGCAAATGATTCCCACCCCGGAGAAGCACCACTGCATTTGCAACACGAGCATCACTTTTGCTTTATTTTTATTTAAAAAAAAAAGTCTTCACTGCCATTAAGATTTTTTTTTTGCTTTTATAATACTTTTTGTCATTTTTGTCTTTTTTTTCATGTTTTTAGGTTTTTTTTTTTTTCCTTTTCAACAGTGACAAACTGAGGTAACATCTGTGACACTACAACCTCTCCTACAGGAAGAAGGTCCAAAACCCGACAGCCGAGGGGATTTAAAATAAACACCCAACAACCTACCAACACAGCGACCTCAACGGGAACAAAAATCACACCCACGCGCACACCCCTGTAAGGGACAAMCTGACCGGGAAAGTAAAAACAAACYCTCCTAGGCGGTGGTTGGGATTCCTTATCTACATTATTGCACGAAAGATCGAGGACATCGAGGGACCTAAGGCAAGAAGGAGAAAGGTCGCGCCTAACATCTCTACGTCTGTGCAGTGCTACTTCTAAAAGAAAAAAGACCTTGGCCCTGGCACCCCAGAGCACGGCAGGTGACACCGACGGGGCGGGACGGGCGAGGGCAGGGTGGGCACGGGGGAGGAAGGGCGGCAGTGGCGCCGCGGGCCGGCGCCGCGTGGCTGCCTGGGGCCGAGCCCTGAGCGTGGCGGTGCCGGCGGCCGCTTGCCCAGTCCCTGACGGTGGCTCTGYGCCCGGCGCGCGGCTGCTGTGTAAACTGCTGTTGCTTGTGAAGAGAGAGGGAATAGCCCTTTGTGCGGGAATGCGGGGGACGGGGAGCTGGACAGGAGGGTCCCGCGATGGGCCCGGCCTCGCCGGGGGCCCGTGGGCAGCCAGGGCCGCATGAAGCCCCCAGGGCGCCGGTGGTGTCTGCCCTTGCCCGGGCAGCCCCAAGGCAGGAGGGAGGCTCGTGCCAGCGTGTCCCGGTGTTGTGGAGCTCCCAGCAGCTCCTGCCGGGGCAGCCCGTGCCAGGGCAGCCTGGTGACGAGCCTGGCTGGGGTCCCTTCTGCCTCCCTGCCACCCCGGGGGAGCCTCCGCCAGCCCCCTGCATGGAGGGCTGAGGGTYTGGGGAAGGGGGGACGGCAAGTGTGGGGAGACGGGGACAGCTCGGGGAGACACGGACGTCCTTTGGGAGGCCGCTCAAAGCCCCCTCCCTGCCCCAGGTTGTGCAGGAGCTCCAGGGCAGCCCTGGAGACGTGGCTGCCGCCACGGTTTCTAGTCGCCGTCCGCGCCAATGGCTGCAAATCCTCGCAGGGCCTCACGGCTCCGACCCCATCCTCCATGGAGACGCGCGCGCGCCGGCCCGGCAGCGCCCTGCCGCCCTGGCTACGGCCGCCACCACAGCAGTGCCGGCAACTCCGGGCTTCGCTGCCAGCCGTGTGCCAACCTTGGCCATGCTGAGCTCCATGTGAGACCTAGCACCCCGTGAGGATGTCCTAGGTCCCATGGGGACCCCCCAAGTCCCGTGGGGACCATGCTACCCGCAGCCCTCAACACAGGGCAGCCGCCCCAAACCCTGCCCTATGGCCACCAGCAGCAGCCCTGCGAGCTCCTCCAGCTGTTGRGAGCCCCTGGGTGCCCGTGCGGAGGCAGCCGGTCCCTCTGGCTGCCGCTGTCCCTGCCTCGGGGCTGGCGGCCGGCTCTCCCGTGGGACAGGGCACGTGCACAGTGARGTGCCAGCCGGGTGCAGCTGGCCTGACGCACAAACACACACGACACAGTGACACTTGCTACATCGATGGCCGCGGGCGCGCGGCCGCGGGGCGCGCGGAGCCTCCCACGCGGAGCCAGGCCGGGCGCTGCCCTGGCTGCACTCAGCGCCCGCCTCGCCCGCCGCTGCAGTGCCAGCAGCGGGAACAGAGCCAGCGCGCGCCCCAGCCTCCCCAAGGGCCTCCTCCCGGCCCCGGGGTCATCAGCCTCGCGCGGCTCCCAGCCCGGCCATGCCTGGGGCTGCCCGCTCTGCAGGCTGCACCAAGGACCAGACTCCATGCCCGGGGTGCCAGCGCCGCCCCAGGCAGCCAGCACCCCCGCCCCAGCTCACCCGCCCTGCGCGTTATTGTTATTATTACTATTATTACTATGACTGCTATGTGGTGTGCCGCCCCTCGCCACAGCGGGGAGGTGCCTGGGGCCAGACCCAGCCCGCCAGGGCACCGGGGCGGCCTCCCGGGCAGGCACCTGGTGCCCCAGGCCGGGCTCCCAGCGCCGCCTTCGCTGCCCAAGGCCCGGCCTCCCCCACGGCAGGGGGAGAGCAGCATCCTCGGTGCTGCCGAGTGCAACCAGTTTTGCTTTTTTTTTCCTTTTTTTTTTTTTTTTTTTTTTTTTTTTTTTTTTTT